AGGAGGTAGGAGGAGGTCGCCGCAGAGGAGGAGAGAAGGGAAGATGAAATGAAGAGAGGAGGAGAGGACCAGCCATATATACGGCATACTAATGGCGCACCGCGGGCAGGTGCGCCATTAGTAATTTTTTTTTATTTTTTTCATTTATTTTGAATTTTGAAGGCGGGAAGATACTAATGGCGCACCATGGTCAGGTGCGCCATTAGTAATTTTTTTTATTTTTTTGATTTATTTTGAATTTTGAAGGCGGGAAGATACTAATGGCGCACCATGGTCAGGTGCGCCATTAGTAATTTTTTTTTATTTTTTTGATTTATTTTGAATTTTGAAGGCGGGAAGATACTAATGACGCACCATGGTCAGGTGCGCCATTAGTAAGTTTGAATTTTTTTGATTTTTTTTGCCTCTCTAGATCTTAAAAGCCCCGTATCTTTTTTTCTGTTAGGTTTTTGAGGATTTTGGAAATGTTTAACGGGGTTTTGGATGTAACTTTTCGAGTAGATGATTTTTCATATAAAAAACTTTTTCATCCGAGTTAGTATGCAAAAGTTATGCCCATTTTTACAAATTCTCGCGAGATTTTGCAAATGAAGTCAAAATTCATATTTGCAAATTTTCCCAACAACTAGGTCACATATCACGTGGGAAACTTATTTTCTTTTATTTTTTTGACATTTTTATCATTCTGTTTTATTTTTTTTAAAACTGAAAAGGCAATCCACGGGGGGGGGGTGCATTCGGTGGAAGTGGTGGCCAAGGTTACTAATGGCGCACCGTGGCATGGTGCGCCATTACTAGTTTAACTAGTAATGGCGCACCACACACACGGTGCGCCATTAGTATGTTTGGACAGGCGCACTAGTTCAAAAAAAAAATTTGGTACTAATGGCGCACCGTAGGCAGGGTGCGCCATTAGTAGTTTCAACACTAATGGCGCATCAGAAGGTGGTGCGCCATTAGTATATACTAATGGCGCACCACATGTCTGGTGCGCCATTAGTGCCATTTCCATCTATAGCCCTTTTCCTAGTAGTGTACTGACAAGTCTCTTTACTCGTTCCGTAATACATCATCTCACAACTAACATATTAGTTGCAGTGCTTGCAAGGCTTATGTGATGTGCATTACCGAGAGGGCCCAGAGATACCTCTCCGACAATCGGAGTGACAAATCCTAATCTCGAAATACGCCAACCCAACATCTACTTTTGGAGACATCTGTAATGCTCCTTTATAATCACCCAGTTACGTTGTGACGTTTGGTAGCACCCAAGGTGTTCCTCCGGCAAACGGGAGTTGCATAATCTCATAGTTATAGGAACATGTATAAGTCATGAAGAAAGCAATAGCAACATACTAAACGATCAGGTGCTAAGCTAATGGAATGGGTCATGTCAATCAGATCATTCAACTAATGATGTGACCTCGTTACTCAAATAACAACTCTTTTGTCTATGGTTAGGAAACATAACCATCTTTGATTAACGAGCTAGTCAAGTAGAGGCATACTAGTGACACTCTGTTTGTCTATGTATTCACACATGTATTATGTTTCCGGTTAATACAATTCTAGCATGAATAATAACATTTATCATGATATAAGGAAATAAATAATAACTTTATTATTACATCTAGGGCATATTTCCTTCACTTTTTTTAGGGGTGCGCTCGTTAACTGGTTGCTCTCGGGAAAAAAAAAGCCTCTGTCTCTCCTCGCACAAAGAAGAAAAAGAGTGTGTCTTGGGCCCAGGACATCACACATTGTTCGTCTAGCCCATCGTGGGCCGCCACGCCAGGCCCATCTCTACCCGGACCAGCCCGGGCCCGGCGTGAGAGCGACAGGGCCGTTGACTGAAACAACGGACGGCTGAGATGCGGCCGCGGCTCTGCTCAGTCGGTAGAGCTGTCCCCCGCCGCTAACCCCAGCCACGAGCTCCCCCCTCCTCCCTCCCATCTCCTCTCCTCCCCCCACCCAAATCCCCAATCCCCCACGGTCTCGCCGGCGCCCCGCCCCCACCGCGCCGCCGCCGCCTCGCCCTCCCCGGCGCTCCCTCCCCTTCGCTCCGCCCGCCTCCTCCCCGGCCGGAACCGAACAGGTAACCCCCCGATTCCACCGCGCAAGTCCGGATCTCGACGCGACGCGGAAAAAACGAATCTTTCTTCTGCCCCCTTCTCCCCCCTATCGCGCCGCCCCGCAGAGAACTCCGCCCCCGGGCAGAGATTTTCGATCTCCGGCCGACACAGCGCCTGTTTATCTCTCTAGGTCTTAGGAGAATCGCGTAGCCGTCCCGGGCTGAGCCTGTGTGGTGTTTTGGTGTCGCAGAGCAGGGTCCGGGACGATGGAGCTGCAGACGTCGGGGCGGCCCATCGAGGTGCTGATGGAGAAGGTGCTGTCGATGAACATCGTCTCCTCGGACTACTTCAAGGAGCTCTACAAGATCAAGACCTACCACGAGGTCATCGACGAGATCTACAACCAGGTGGACCACGTCGAGCCCTGGATGACGGGCAACTGCCGCGGCCCCTCCACCGCCTTCTGCCTCCTCTACAAGCTCTTCACCATGAAGCTCACCGTCAACCAGATGCACGGCCTGCTCAAGCACCCGGACTCCCCCTACATCAGAGCTGTAAGTAAGGATTATCTTTTCTTGCCCCAGCTTTCTCGTAACGTTTATTTATCTTTCTGCTCTTTATGATTGTATGTTTTTTGTTATGATTGTATATGTTTGATTTTATTTAGCTCTCATGGAATATAGTTATTTTTGCAACAGATTGGGTTTCTGTACCTGCGCTATGCCGCGGACCCAAAGACCTTATGGACCTGGTATGAGCCCTACATTCAAGATGACGAGGTACTGTCTCTTCTGTGTTCGCTCTCTGCCTCATCTGCGTTTGTTTGACCATAAATCAAGCAGCAATAGGCCAAGCTCTAGTTCCAATGATATGTTCTTTTTGTTTACATTGAAGTAACTTTCAAACCTCTGTGTTGCTTTCAACAAAGTGTTTTGTTAACATGTGAAATATAAACAAAGATCTTCTGTTTTTATTGTGTGGCTGTTTTTTCTAAGAATAATGCTTGTACAAACCTGAAGTGACTAGTAAACATATATTGCAAATGAAAGCTGGCACAGCATATGGTTCTTCTTTTGCCTTCTATTGTGGATCAAGTAAAGAAGGATTTTATCTATGAAATAAAGTGAAGCCCAAACAGTGAGCTGATGAAAGTGTGCGATCAGAGAGGCCAGATGGATAGTTCTCTGGAATCCACCATGCCTGTACTAGAGAATAGAGATTACTTGCACTTATAACTTGTTTCTTTATGACATAACGATCTGCACATGTATGATCCTAATGCTTATCCATGTGGATCAACGTGTGCAAATAGTTAGTTTGCCATGCCTGTTCTTAACATTTATGATTTTTTGTGATAAAATGTTTAATTCTTTTGTGGTTCTTTTGTAATGAACCATAGCTCACCTCTACATAATACGTGTTCTCTTTCAGGAGTTTTCCCCTGGATCCAATGGTAAAATGACAACTATGGGCGTTTATGTGCGTGATGTCATCCTTGGTCAGGTATATCTCTTAAACTATGCCCCCATTTCTTCCATTTGACATAACTTTACTATAGAGCTGCTATTACAGTTTTCTATAGTTACCCAAGCACATCCGATGGCATACGTGATTGACATACTATTTTCTGAGCCTAAGTGCAATATCTGTTTGTTGAATCTCACCTGTTGATTTGGCATACTGAGCGGAAATTTCAATTGTGGAGTTGCTTTAAGAGGAGAGATCTCTTCCACCAGTAACCACTTTGTAAAGGTTTGTCATGATATGTTACTCGAATGTTCTTTTCACTTTTGCCACTAGTGTTCCATATTTTCAACTGGTTGAAGTATTCATTGCACATAAAAATGATGTGTGCTTTTGAGATGCTTTACTCTGTTTCAGGCTATATGTCCTGTATTGTTAATTTCTTGGCTTGAGATGCTATTGTTTCCCTTTCTGTCCATGCTTTATGCTTTGGAAAAGATCTATGGGCATATTTACCAAGAGAATCAAGTCCATTTCCCGTATAGAAAAAGGAGGCCCAGTGTGTAATAAGTACCTTAGAACTGGAAGCTTTTGAACTTTGTTTTAGGACGCCTAAGTTCATGTAAAAAACTCTTGACTGGTTGGCTCCCACATACATTCATAGTCAGGATTATGTGATATTTTGGTACAATGGATAGCATCTCCAGTAGTCTATTAATTTTATTCCATATGCAAGCTAGAGGGAAATTAGTACCAGATTGAGTTGCTTGTGTTTTGGTTGAATCAAGACAGTTGGTAAACTCCTTGGTTTGATCAGCTATTACTGTTTGGTGGGTGAGTACTTAAATTCTTATGGTCTAGCTGATACAGCAATGGATATCTGTCTCAGTTGGCACGAAGCACTAGCAGTCATTTGACTAGTTCTTATTTTGGCCAAAAAAAACACTTCAGTTTAGTTTTTGTTGTCACTGTTTGCCACAATAACTGAGAACACCTCGGCCCTAGCCTAGACGCTCGTATGCCAAATACAACAGAACAAATTAACCTCATAATCATACTCTGTTACCACTTTATGTTTCTTGACAAGTTATATGCTATCGTATCCGTCTAGTATTTCCTTTCCAGGCCATTATTCTAGTAGCTTGAAATGAGAAATAGCATTCACACGTTTGGTAAACTAAATTTCCTTGTCATTTATTGTTTCTTTGCAGTACTACTTCGACAGTCTTCTTCCACGAGTGCCTCTCCTAATTCTGCGACAGGTTACTGCCCATCTGGAGAAAATGAAGCTCCCAACAAAGCAGTCAGGGATAACTGGGGATTCTAGCCGCCTTGGTTCAGATGATACTGCCCGGCGGCCTCCTTCAGTGAAGGCTTCTCTGTCCGTCTCTTTTGGTCAGCGTGCTCCACACCGTGCATCCACAAGGGATTCATCCCCAGTCCGAAAGACATTGCCTTCTGTACGAGAAAGGGAAAGGAGTCATGATGGCAGTCATGCCAAATCTCCACCCAGGAAGCACCGAAGTCAGAGTCGTGAGCGCAGCCGTGACATTGAGAGGGACCGTTCAGATCGCGATCGTGGTAGGTACAAGGATAGGGAGCATGGTCGGCACAGCCGTGATAACAGAGACCGTGACTACCGCCGCTCAAGCTATTCTGATAGGGATGTTGAGAGGCGCGGCCATGAAAGGAGGGATAGGGACTCCGACCGAAACGGGCGTTCGAGTGGCCGCAGAAGCAGGAGCAGGAGCAGGAGTCCAAGCCGTGGCAGAACCAATGGGGACAGCCACCGCTCCAGCCCGTTTGGTAAAGCGCCGGAGTCATCAAACCTGGCGAAGCTGAAGGATCTATACGGTGACGCGACGAACGCGAAGGACGACGCCGGCGACGACAGATCCCGCAGGGACTCCGGAACTGAAGAGGTGATCAGATTGGGAGGCGCCAGGTGGAGGTGACCGCCAGAAGCCGAGAACCATGGGGATTCTATTCTTGTTGTACTAACATGCTATACGCCGCGGGCGTTGCGCAGCAGCTAATGGGTTTCGTCTCCCCTGCGCTCCTCTGCCTTCCCTTGGGAAAAATGTCTCCGACTAGCGTGTACAATGCAAAATCTGTTGGGAGGCTAAGCCGTTTAGTGGCGACGACAGATAAATTATTTGTTCACTTTGAATAGCCAAATTCTGTATCTGATATATGCTTTATGCGTTGTGAGCTCAAAACAGACATTTGCTTCTTTGCTTGTGTTGTCAGTGGTGATATGCGGCGCCTGCTCGTTTCACATGTATTAAGACCGTATGCAGTGCAAGGTGCTTGATAAAACAAATCGGTTTTGTAAATTAATTAGAGGAAGAAGCAATTTATTTCACTTTCTGCCGTCGGATAGATCATGGATGGCCTTGCCTTTGACTGCCCCCTTGCCTCCCTGGTCAACCATGGTCGCAGAGCAGCCAGCACTTCGATATCATATACTCCCTCCGTTCGAGTAAATTTACACTTTAAAATATGCCTATATACAACCATATGTGGTAGTTCATTTGAAATCAAGACTTACATTTAGGAACGGAGGGAGTACCAGCGAACCCTAGAAAAATCTAAATCCCCTTTCTATCGACGATGGGTCATGTAGGTACCTCTGCTATAGAAAAAAAAACCCGCTAGTGTTTAAGCAAAATGTTTTGGTTTTACAAACACCTTTGTACCTGGCCTATAGAAAACTTACGCCTCATCTAGTTCCATCATTTTGAGAAAAAATGATTTTTTTTATTTTTTTTACACAATTTGAGTCACTTGTTGATTCACGATTACACCTATTAAAAGTTTCAAACGCCCTCTTTTTTAAATTGAAAGAATCATATAAAAGGAGCATTTTACTAGCAGCTATGGAGATTGCTCTAGCTATAGTTTCAGATATTTGACCTAGTTTAACAACGGGTACCCAATATTCGGGACCCCTTTGTGCTTTGGCGTTTTAAATGAAAAATTGGCAGAAAATGACCAAATTGATATATATTAAATGACGACGATGGTATTGGATAAAAAACGCGCTTTGATGAAGAAAAGTGCAAGGTGGAGTCAATACACATCGCTGTGTTCCTAGTGGAGTTTAGCCTTTGTTTATTTTGTCGTTCGATGCATCGTTACCTCAAAATATACAATGTGATTTTGAGAGACATGGGGGAATTACAGAATTATGGAATGTGGTACAGTCTAGGAGCAATACAAAGAACAGCTAAAAGAAGAGTGACAGAAGGTCCATAGCCAGCTTCCCGCCCAGAAAGGGTCGAGACCGAGCTCCGGCTAGACGGGTTACCGCTTCAACCATCCATCAGGCGAAGAAGGTCTTCTCCGGTGAGAGCTGTGGCATCAACTTCCCTGGTGAAGCTCTGCTTCGCCTCGAGCCTTAAAGCCGCGCCCTGCCATGTAGCTTGCGACGGCGGCCCTGCCATGTAGTCGCATTCCCTGTGCTCAGCCGGACAGTCACCATGATCCTCAGCTGCTGAGCAGTGTTGCCGGCGTGGAGGGCAGAAGAGGCCATTCAGTGGATGCCACACATAGATTGGCTGGGTATTTTTCGCAGACCCGGTTACATCCCAGAGTCACCCCTGTTCCGAAACGCAGGGATGGAACTGAACATGTCTTGGCCTGTGCCGCTCCTTCCATCCTCTGCCGACCAAACTCTTCTTAACCTGGTAGAGAGGTTTCTGCTCTGGCAAAATTTGGCGCCTTATTTAGTCCACCTCTAAATGATGGCACACATTATATGTACTCCCTCCGTTCCTAAATATAAGTCTTTTTAGAGATTTCAACAAGGGACTACATACGGAGCAAAATGAGTGAATCTACACTCTAAAATATGTCTATATACATCCGTATGTTGTAGTTCATTTGAAACCACTAAAAAGACTTATATTTAGGAACGGGGGGAGTACAAGCATGCGATCCGATTGAATCGTACCTGACAGATGAGTTTCACGATTCCAGGTTCACCCATCCACCAAGAGTCTGTCCTGAACTTTCAGACGTTCTACAAAAGATCTGTAAACAAAAAGTTGTATCATCAGAACAATGCCTTAGATGCCAAAGTGAAGGCAGTTATATGTGGTACAAGAGTAGTTTTTATAGAATTTTTACCTGTTTGGTGGAAAATGTCCATATAAATGATCGCAGGCTGCACCGTGGATATTGCCGTATATACCAGCTGTGCCTCACTGTATACAGCATAGTGTTTTGGTACCAGACTGACCTACCGTTGGAAAAACACAACAGCAGTGAATCATGCTGGGACACTAAATCCAGCTATAACCAACTTCTTTCTCGGTGGCAGTTCTCCTAATTTGACTTCTTAGACTATCAATCGCACCCCATCTATTTGTTGATCCATGTACACTGATCAGGTGAAGATAAGGCATTTTAGTAGAAGGATTTATGGCGATCAACTGACTTGCCGCATGCTCTGCTAACTTATCATTGCCACTCAATCTGCAGCTGCTCAAGAGAGAGGTCCATATTGCTGAATCAGGTTCAAATGGCATCGACTTAACCAACCCTTCAGCCTCCTCAACCATGCCTCTCCTACAAAATAGGTCAACCATGCAAGCATAGTGCATTACATTAGGCACAATTCCATGATCACGCGTCATCGCATCGAAGAAATGTTTTGCTTCCTCCAAAAGACTCATGTGATTACATGCAGAAAGTACACCAACAAATGTGATTTCATCAGGATCAACTTGTGACATCTTCATATTCTCGAACATTTCAATAGCATTTTCACCAAGGCTACTGAATGCATATCCATGAATTATTGTATTCCATGTAACCACATCTCTCTTACCCATCTGATCAAAAATATTCTGGGCTGCAACCATTTTGCCACATTTGCAATATAGGCTAATGAGTGAATTCTGACTTAGTAAACATAACTCGAGTCCAAGCTTGATAGTTGTGGCGTGAAACTGCTGACCATGAACAATCATAGAATGGTGTGCAAAACAGCTTATGAGGCTAGAAACAACTGATTCGCTTGGGCGCACATATGTTAATAGCATTTTCTTGTACATCTTAAGTGCATCATCAGTTAAACCATTTTGAGCGAGCCCCATAATTAAACAGCTCCAAGTTACCGAATCATGCGAAGGTGATTCATTGAAGAGCCTGTAAGCTTCAGTAACCTTGCCTTGATGAAGAAAACCAGCTATCATCACATTATAGGTGACAACAGTCCTTTTGTTCATCCTATGGAAAAGGTCCAGGGCATCATCCAGATATCCTTCTTTCATGTATCCAAAGAGTAAAGATGTACAAGACATTACATCTGTTTGGGGCATACTATAAAACATATCCCGTGCTTTATCTAGCATTCCGTTGTCTACAAACCATGACATCAAAGCAGTAGCTGCTTCCACGTTCTTCTCAGGCATCCTTGAGTATAACTCAGTAGCATCAGTAATTCTTCCATCTCTGATATAGCCATTAATCATCGAGTTCCACGAGACCTTATCTCTTTCAGTCATGGAATCAAAAAGTTCTCTAGCCTCATCGATCTTGTCTGCATAAATATAACCACATATGATGGCATTCCATGAACCAACATGCTTTCTGTCCATTTTATCAAACTCCAATTGTGCTTCATCGATGTCCAAGGAGTTACAGTACATCGCAACTAATGATGCCTCGATAATCAGGTCAAGAACAAATCCACACTTCACAGAAAACCCATGAATGCATCTACCTCCAATACTTTTCAGACCAGCATACGCATTCACAACCTTAACTAGAACTGCATTTGTCATTTCCTCCCCATTCCGCATCAACCTTCTGAACAGTTCAACTGCCTCTCTGAATCGCTGATGGTGGACAAGCCCTCCTATCATGACACACCACGACACAGAATTCTTCACGGGCATCGAGTCAAACAGCTCCAACGCCAGCTCCACCTCATGCACCGTAACATAGCCCTTTACCATGGCCGTCCAGGACACGACATTGCGACCGGGCATCTGATCAAAAACCCTGCGGGCGTCGGCTACCCGGTGGTTCATCATGAGGCCTGATAGAAGAGCATTCCACAAGGCCACATTTGGAGTGTCCACGTCGTCAAAGACTCGCTGCAGGCAACTGAAAACCCCACAGTTGGCATACATGGTGACGAGAGAGGCGCCCACGAACACATTACCCGTGGAGCAGGACTTGAGCGCGAGGCCGTGGACGCATCGCCCCAGCTCCAGAGCCTCCAGGCGCGCGACGGCTGACAGCACGGTCGAGAACGAGGTGTGGTCCGGCGGGAGCCCGCGACACCTCAGCTCCAGGAAGCCATATGCAGCCTCCCGGTACGCGCCCTCCCGCGCGTGCGCGACCATGAGGGAGTTCCAGGACACCACGTCGCGCCGCGGCATTCCGTCGAACACCTGCCGCGCGGCGCCCGGCCTGCCGGCCCTCAGGTGCGCGCCCATCAGCCTGTTCCCGGAGGCGATGCCCTCGTCGTGGGAGCAGCCACAAAGCGCGCCCGCCGCGTCCCCCGGCGACTTGGGAGGCCGGGAGTCCGCCGTTCCGAGAACGCCGGCGCGCCGCGCCGTGACACGCATGCCGAAGAAGCTCCCGCAGCGCTGGTAGTTGGCGCGAATAGCAGTGTGCTCCTTTTTTTTTTAAGGAAACAGCTTCGTAAAACAGTTCTTCATGGGGCCACACATGGCGCGGCCCACCAACAAGTAATATTTTTTCCTTTTTAATATAAATATATTAGACACTAAAAATATATAAATATATCTAAATTTTCTACTAAATTTATAAATCAGTTTTAAAATAGAAAAATACTCCCTCCGTCCCAAAATAAGTGTCTTGAGCTTAGTATAAATTTTTACTAGAGCTAGTACAAAGTTGAGACACTTATTCTGGGACGGAGGGAGTATTACGTATTGCAAAAATAAATGTTCACATATAGATAATAAATGTTCCT